CTGGTGGACTCTTTTCTGATCAGAGAATATAAATACAGGGGAAATGATACTCACGCGTGAAAATCTGGTGCCTATACAATATTCGGTGTATAGTGAACATAAACGACTTCTATGAATCCGTGGCATGTTGCTATAAAAATGCAGTAAAGAAAATTTAATGTACTGTGGGATATTTTTCTATGAAAATAAATGCTATGCAGTCCTTTAAAAAGACACTTTTCCTAAAATAAAAGTATCCATCACTGCACATCCCATATCTCGCAGAGAAGAGGTGTGAATTTGTGATCATTCACTCTCCATGGCATCAGCATCTCGGCATGATGGTGGTTAAATGTCCGTAACTCTGTCAGGCGGCCCAGAAGACAGGCAAAGTGTTGCGGGTTGTCTGGGTGGTGAAGTTTGCAGAACTTCTGCAGAATATCCAGCAGGGGTTCTTGAAGCCTTTCCACAGACTCTCTCTCCTTTATGTATTGTCGATCTGGTTATGGTTTTAAAAGAAAAGGAGTAATTAGCAAAAACATGCTCTGATACAATCCAAATATTTACACTGATAAATGAATATAAAGATATTCAAATGTTTACACAGGGCACGGATGTTCACACCTGCCAAGAATATTTCTTTTCAGACTGAGAGGGAATAGAAGTGCTTTAACACTGGTTTTTTTGGTTCAGGGGTTTCGTGTAAGCTTCCTACTTAGAGGCGGGAAGACTTTCAACCTTTCCAAAAATGGAAGAGTTTTAACTCAGAAGTGTTTCTCTGGGGTTGTTCCTCATCTCCTGATGCAGTTCTGCACCCGAGTGTGTCCTGAGATGCATTGCAACAACGGAGCAGCACAGCAGAAGTTCTTGGAGATGTAGTACAACTGGGGAATTTGGCCAGTAGAGAAGAGCGGACACACAGGTCACCAGGGAGAAATCAAATGTCTTCATCCTCAGATGGAATTTCTTTGTTAGAAAATACTTGTCTTTTTTATTTTGTTCATATGGAAGTATGTATTTGGGATTTTTTTCCCAAGCCACGCTGACTCAAAGAGCCATGGAATTGCTTCACCTTCCCATCTTCCATGAAACCTGATTTGGAAACCTCAGTGTCTGTCTTTTGCCCTGAAGCTTCAGGCTTCTCTTCTCCTGCTCCTATGCCAGTCAGTTTGTTGGAGGCACTACACAATTTCTCCATATGCTGTAATGCAGAGCTGGTTAGTTTTGGGTGGTCAAAGAATTCATTTTTATAGCAAAGCCCGTAATCAGGGCTGAGCCGCTCTCATGCCAATGCTTCTGAAAGGTCAGTTGCCACCACTTTATGGTCGAGAGGGCAACTTGCTGCTCTTGCCAGCTGGTGTTTGTTCTGTACAGCCTGAAGACCTTCACTGCCATTCTCTGTTCTAAGTTATAGGGTTTCACAATTTCCCACTAAAAAATGTGACGTTCCACAATGGTCTGTAGCCATGTGCATGTAAGCACATCTGGGATTTCCTGAAGGAAGAAGCCTGTTGTGCTAAGCAGGGAAGAGATACCAGTAAATTTTTGAGTGTGGTATTTAGGCACTTTTTTTTTCCGTGCATGCAAAACCAGATGGTGTAGCAGGACATTTAGAGACTGGCTTTGTGAGCTTGTTTTCTGGTTTAACAGCTGATTATACTGATAAGCATATGTGCTCACTTACTCTATGTAGAATGTAAGTTTTTACAAGTCTCAGGTAATGCTCCTCATGCTTTCTTTCCAAACCCACTAATATTTAATTCTGGATTAGAAGTTACCTGGAGACAGGATAACTATGGCTGTGAGCAGCGCGTATTCCTCCTGTGTCATCTTCAGCTCTCCAATGCTTTTATAAAAATTAAACATGGGAGTTATGAATTCATCTGAGAGACCTGTGAGAGAAAAAAAAAGTTATAATATTTTTTAATTATTGAAATAATCTGGTTTATTGCCATAGAGCAATTACATAGTATTTGAAGCCTTGACTGTCTTGGTGGGAGAAATTTACTACACAAATCAGGCCTGATGCAAGGCAATTAATTACAGAAGTGCAAGCACGTCCCTGTTTTCCAGATCAGAGTAGAAACAGGCAAGAGCTGGCAATTCCTTTTTGCGTGGTTTCAAAGCCTTTCTTTCAAGCAGTTTCTTTTCCCCTACAGGTTCATCCATCCAGCTCTTCAGGACAAGTCTCATGCATGCTTTTCTCGCTGTCTGCTGATGTTCTGTCTTCTGTTTCCAGTATGCACGGTCTGTGAAGCAGTCCCCATGTTCCCTATTTTTACATGGAAACCTCTCAGGGTGTATGGGTTAATTCTAGCCCAACTCTACTCCACAGCTAACTGCCTTGGGCAGTTGCTTCAGTTGTCTCCATAAAGAGTCTTAATTGCTCCTTTTATGTAGCCTGAAACTTTAGCTAGGTCTAGGATTACCTGTAGTCCAAGATCCACTTGCTTGCAACTACTACTACTACCACTACCTTAAAGCATAAACTAGTGTATTATAAAGTATAGACCGATAAATAATTAAAATGCAGCCCAGTTTAAGGATGGGATCATGCGATTCTCTTGCCATCAGTGAAACCCTTTGGGGTTACCAAACTGGGGCATGCCGACTGGGCTTCCTCTTACTGACTTTGTCATCAGGTCACAATGTTCTTACTTAGTCTTAAATTACAGATGTAGTTCATTCTGCTTTTTGGTGTAAAAGAGAAGTAGGTCCTGTGACATCAAATTTTTTTTTTTTTTAAACTGGTGAGTGAGTCACTCAGAGCAGCCACTAGACAGTTGACAATGGCTGCTTGCAACTCTGAAGCGGTGGCACCAACGAGGTGTAGAGATCTGAACCAGTGGTTCTGCACCAAAAAGCCTTTTGTTCTTTCTTGGCTGAAAGGATGGAAACCTCCTCTGCTCCCACAGATGAGGGCCATAGGATTTCTTGTCATTTTATTCTTAATTTTGAGCTGTTCTGGGAGAAAGCTTTGTGACTTAGTGTGGCAACCTCATGAAATAACGTGGGTTTGAGTGTTGTATACAACACAAAGCTGAAGTCCAGGACTGGTAAGGTTCGGAGTGCCTCCAGTAGGGGAAATTCAAAATGAAACTCAGCAGGTGGAACTCAAAGAAAGGAAGCATGAAGTCACTTGACTTAACTATGAACAAGTCACATTTTGCTGTGACAGTGAGAGCTTATCTCATTCAGTGGAATAGTTATGTGTCCCAAGAGAGTGAAAGTGTGGTCTTGCAGGGTGTGGTGTATTTTGTGGCTAAATGATGCGTTTAAACATGTGACAGGAGCAACCTATGTTCACTTCAGATTACAGGCCACAAATCCGGGTTTTGTAGTAAGATCAGCACTATTGAGAAGAGTCTTAAGTCAATTAAGGAAATATATATGATGCGAGTCAGCTCATCCTGTGGAAGTTCATAACACAGCTGGAGCTTTATGCAAACAATAGTCATAGCATCTGATGTTCTGCAGGGTTTATGTCGTTAGTCATTAGCGTTACCTATTTTAAATTTTGAACACTTGTTATTGCTAACTGTTGGGAAACTGCCTCTCTCTTGGGCAGTGTTAAATGCCAAAGTTCCTTACAATATGACATATGTAAGGCACACATACATATGACACACCCAAGTTTTAATGTCTGCATGAATCTAGGAACAGGGAAATAAGTAAGTCTAGCTGAACCCTAAAGTAGAGCAAATGAATTCCTTTTGTGGAAGCGAATAGCTCAGCAATGACATGAAAAAAAAAAAAAACAAAATATGTTTAGAAGTCTCTATGCAAGGTATCACGCCGCTGGGCACGATCGTCTTGGCAGCAGGCAGGAAAAGGGAGGAAGTGGGCTGTGACTAAAACTCCCATCATTTGTTTCTCATATTCATAATTTGATTTTTTTTCCCCCCTCTTTTTTTTGGGTCAAGTTAGTTTTCAGTTGGATGAATTCATTGTTTTGCTGATCACAAAACTCCTTGAGTCTTGCTGTCAGTATAGCAGAAGTGTGATGAAAACGATGCTGGTAAACAGGGTATGGAATAACTAATTCATGTCCTCACTGGTCCAGGCACTATATAAGTATGCAGTAAAACAATCCTTGCCCCAGGAAGCTTATAGTCTAACTTAAGAAACTAAAGTGTGGGTGGGTGAAGCAAAAAATTCTTATAGACATGGAAGCAAATGAAATTACGGTAGAGAGCTGCTCTGCACTACTGTACTCCAAACAGAGAAATAAAACAGAAGAGGTGAAAGAGAGTAAAAAGGGATGTTTCAGCAATGCAGCTGATTTACTGCTTTTACTAAAGAGAATAGAACTTTGAAGTCTTTAAATAGATATGTGTCACAAGACAGTTATGAAGGAAACCATGCAAAATGAGCCAATTTGAGACTAGGATAATGGATTTTTTCTTGGTTACTCGTTTTGCCCTCGTCCCGTCTGTGCTGGAGTTTCTCCCTTATTTCATCATCCTGTATGCATGTTACACAAACCGCTGTTCCATCACAAGAGGGGGCTGTTTTCTAATGGGATTGAAACACTTCGGTTTGGATTTAATAAACACCAGAAAGCAAAAAAGCAGGAAACAGATGTTTATAGTTCTTGATTTTTTTTTCTTATCTACTGTACAAGATGTTGTCACTTCAACTCAGGTTATCAGAAAAAGAATTAAAGGCAATTTGGTACTCGTAACTGGATAGGCTAGAGGAGAAATGAATTATACGACTTTTCCCATGTCATTATTGCAAATCTTACTCCAAAACTGAAAAAAAAAAAATCCAACAGATAAAGTTATAATGTATTTCTGGCCTCTGTGAGAACTGAAAAGTTAGCTCTGGCTAGCCCTCTTCATTTAAATCAGGCAAGAGTACTGCGTAGTGCTGTGTCAGATAGGCAGAGCTTCCTGGGCAGTGTTAATGCTGCCTCCTTCTTAACTTCTTTTTTTCAAAAAGGTTTCAAAAACTTTGTTTCTTGCAGCACTATGGCAATAAGAACGTGCCCCTCCTTTGTGGTTTATTGTGCATCTTTCCTACCTGAACTACACTCTACCTAACCACCAGCCCAACTCTATCATCTGCGGAAGATCCTGCAATTCATTGGATTGATTTCACTATGTTAATGGACGCCTGGCTGTAAACCCCAGGATAGTCAACGGGAAGTACTGGCTTTACTGAGTATGGCCTTATGGCATCAGACTGGAGCAGATTTAAACCCATGAGCATTATTCATTCAGCACCCCTCAGTTCTTGCACAATTTCATTCCTATCTGTAGCTTAAGACACGGCATTGTTTTAGACCTTGCCTTTTTTAGGGTTCTGTTCCTATGATTTTGCTCTGGAGGTAAGATGGCTGTTGCTTTCATAAGGTTTGCGGTTTCAGGCCATAAATAATTATCTCGTTTACATAATCCTGGAATAGATGTTTTTACTCTCATATCGAGTCTGTATTGCCAGCTTTTTGAGACCAGTATTCTCTCTTCTATTTTGGCTGTTGATTAAAACTGAATAGATTAATCTATTGCAAGCGGCAAGCTTAAGAGTAAGTACTAATTAACAGTAACTACCGCCATGTGATTAATATGGATAAAGAGATCTTTTTTTTCTTGATAAACATGGAGGTGCCAGTGGGTATTAAACCGAGGCTGTATTAGTAGCTGTTTTGTGAAAATAAAATACCCTAATTTCTCGCAAAATTACATCTTATCTTTCACAGTGTTTCATCTGCTGGAACTGCTTTCCACACTGCTTATGAGCTCTGCCTTCTGACCTGTTCAGATGCATCAGTGGCCCTTTAAACACTGACCAAATTCACGGTGTTGATGCTGAGGGTTGAAAAGGGGAAAATCTAGCCAGTCGAGAAGATACACCGGAGCATGTTCATGTCACCTGTCCTCTATCATCACCTTGTAGAGCTTAAATGGCCAACTTAACCGAGAGGTTAGCGTGTGCCAAGGAGACCTCAAAATCAGGATAGCAAAAACCTGTCTTCTCAAAAGCAATCAGTAGGACCGCTGTGAAGACACCATTGCAAGCAAAGTTCAACCTTAGTTAAAAAAATAAAAAAAACCCACAACAACAAAAAATCCCACAAAGAAACCAGACCTGCAAGGAGGATGCAAATGACATCACCACATCCCATCCTTTGGCAGTGGCCTGAGCGTCTGCAGCCAGGAGGAAAGCATGGGCTGGCACACAGCAGCAGCATCTGCACTGCCTTGGGCCAGTCTTCATACCTTGAGTCTATTCAAATAAGTTTTTGGCCTGGAGAAGCAGACTTAGGCAGAAGAAAAGAGATTGGGTCCTCTGGCATCTGTTCTTTTTTTCATGGGTATAAATTAACTCCGTAAGTACAATTTAAACACTTTTTATTTGTAATTCAGGAACGTGGCATTGGCTAACTCAGTGCGGTAGATTGCACAGTATTGCGTACAAACAAAAAAGCTCTTTCCTATACTCTGGAATTTAAAGTGGTCCTAATTTCTAACTATTTTGGGCAATGCGCCAGCTTTGGGTCAAGTCACAGGATGGTGTCTCCTTCCATGTGGATGCATATGACCATTTGGAGGGTTAGACATCTATGATTTGCAGGTGTGTTTAGAAACAAGGAGCGAGATACTGGCTAGGTTGCTCTCTCTTAGATTAGATTATTTGGACTCAACAGTGAAGACAATTTCATTCTGTTTCTCTGCACAAATCCCAGCACAACGGGGTTTTGAAGCACCACTGTTACGCAGTACTAATAATCAAGTAACAAAACCCAAAAAGCAGCAAAGGTGATTTGGTATCCATTGTTCAGGTGTCAAATTTTGCTCTTGGTTGCAGGAGTCTCTTGTCCAAATCAATGGGAACTTTGTATCCCACATTCAAGGGCAAAAGGTGGCCTCTTGCCAAGGCTTTGAAA